CTGGTGGTCCAATCCCAGCTCCCAACCTGCTCTGTGACCCTGGGAAGTCCCTTGCCCCCTCTGGGCCTCGGTTAGCCCTCTTGCAAAGGCGTGGTTACATCCAACCTCTGAGGCCCAGCTCTGCACTGAGCTGGGAGTGGAGGCTGAACCATAAAATGGAAAGGATATGGTACTGAAGAAAAAGTGAAGGGGACAGCCTGGTGTTGCCACCTGGCCGCAGAGGGCTCATCCCAGGGGTGCGGCAGGGAGCTGTTCTTCATGTCTGAACCTCCCGTCCACTTTCCTCGGGGTTTCCATAGTCAGTCTCTCCTTTAACGCGCAAATACCCTGTTCACCCCTCACCCCCAAGGCTCCAGCTGCCAGGATGATAAATGCCATTTGCTCTCCCGTGGTGGTGAGCGATCCCCGGGGAAGGGTTCGCCCACCCACTCAGGCACTCATTCCTTCAACAGACGCACACCAGCACCTTCCGTGTGCCGGGCACCAGGCTGGGGCCAAGAGGAAACTCTGCTCTGGGCACAGGCTTCCAGAAGGCAGACACCTCAGCGTCCCCTCCCCCCAGCGTCTGCAAGGGCTTGCACACAGCGGTGCTCAGGCCACAGTGCTTATTAAGTGACTAACTGATCCATCAGGCTCCCCTTTGCAAAGCAGAGCAGTGCTTTCCCCCACTCTTGCTTGAAACTCCATTAGTTTAACCGCCACCCTCGTGAGGCTCGCCCTTTAGAATGGAAGCACTTTTCACGCCCACGCTTGACAAATTTCTGATCCCGTTCCCCGAGATAAGGAAGAGTAGAAAAGGGAAGCCAAGCTGGCCTTTGGGGACCTCACGTGGTGCTAGTTCTGCCCAGGATGGCAGGACAGTGGCTTCATGCTTTCCCCAGGGCCCCACCCAGACAGCGGGTCCAATGGTGACAGCAAGGAGGCATGAATGGGGTCAGGAGGTGGGAGGAGAGATCCACTTCACAGACCTGCAGACAGATGGACCCCGGAGTAACAGTGTCCTGGAGGGGCACGGAGGACATGAGTTCGAGTCTTAACTCTTGCGCTGCTAGTCGCCTGATTAAACAGGCAGCATAGACTGGAGCGGAGTGAGCAAATTGGATGCACACCTTACCCCAGGATGGTCTCCAGAGAGCAAGAAACCATGACCGAATCCTCATCCACTGCCATGGTGGGCAGTCCTTCCCAACCTGACACAATACCTAAAACCCACACTGAAGAGACTGATAAAGTAAGTTACCTGGAAGTCTGTGTTCCTACAGACTGAAAACGATCAGGAAGCAAAAGCGAAAGATGAATGAGGAGAGCAAGGAAACATCTGCAGCTCTCCTCACGAGGAGCTGGTCTCCCTCCTATGTAAAGAGCTCCCAGCAAAACACTAACAACCCAAGAGAAAGAGGGGAGAAGAGTATGAACAGCAAGCTCTCAGAAGGCAATACAAATGGCTCTTAACCATCTGGAAAGAAGCCAGCCTCACCCGTAAAGAGAAATGTGAACTGTGAATACACGGAAAACCTTTTTTACCTATCTGATTGGGAAACATCATAGCATGTCATAAATCGGTGCTGGCCAGGCTGGCGGGGGACAGCACTCCTACCCACCCCTGGCACAAACCCCGGGGGGCACAATTGAGGCACATCTAACAAAGTCACTAACGTACACACACACCTTTTGACCCAGCAGATCCACTTCAAGTAATTTATCCCACAAACATTCTCACATGTGTGAAATGACATATGTACAACATCATTCACTGCCGCTTTACTTGTAACAGTAAACAACTGAGACCAATCCGTCTCTCAGGAGAAGCTGGAATACTATACTGCTGTCAAAAAGGGTGCGCCAGCTTGAAATGTGCCATCCCAGGGTATCCTGTGAAAAGTCCACGAAGTAACACTAACGCCTGAGATAGATAACGACTGAACCAGGACACAGAACAACCAAAACTCTTGCTTTGACAGAGTAACGAATCTTCTTTCTCATTTTCAGTTTCTATTTCTATTGTCAGAATGTAGCTTGTGCAATTTTTTTAAAACTTTTTAATAGAAAAAACAAGATCTACTGTATACATAGTGTCTACAGGTAAAACGCTATATTGTATACCCAAAAATGTTCTAAGAGAGCAGATATCGTGTGTTCTTATCACAAAAATAGTAAGAATAAAGAGGGTAAGAGGAAATTTTTGGAGATGAGGGTTAGGGCTGTGGCAGAGACTGTGCGGATGGTTCCACAAGTGTATACTTTTATCAAGATGTATGCACTAAATATGCAGTTTTTGTATGTCACTCATACTTCAGTAAAGTGATTTTAAAAATAAACTAAAAAGGGGGCTGGCCCCGTGGCCGAGTGGTTAAGTTCGCGCGCTCCGCTGCAGGCGGCCCAGTGTTTCGTTGGTTCGAATCCTGGGCGCGGACATGGCACTGCTCATCAAACCACGCTGAGGCAGCGTCCCACATGCCACAACTAGAAGGACCCACAACCAAGAATACACAACTATGTACTAGGGGACTTTGGGGAGAAAAAGGAAAAAATACAATCTTTAAAAAAAAATAAACTAAAAAATAAAGACCCTAATAGAAAAACTCAGAGGGCAACACAAAGTCGTTGCTAAGTGAAGCAACGCTACACGTTGAATATACTAACATGGAGAGAGACGCTCCTGGCATGCGTATTGGGGCAGGTACATGTGTGTACATATGAAACTACATATGTGAACACACAAAAAATGAACAGAGCCTGTAAAAAAGAAAAGAAAAAACAAACCCCAGGTCCATCACGTCTAAGTTGCACAACCTTGAGAAAGTTACTTACCCTCTCTGTGCCTCAGTTTCCTCATTTGAAAAAAGGGAGAACAATCTTCTGACCACACAGGGCTTTGAGAGGACTCAGCGGGGGTTAGACGGGCAGAGTGTGGAGGCTGCACCTGGCACGAAGTGCCCAGTTCGAGATAACAAGTGTCTGGAGCTGGCCCGCGGGCTGCAAGGCCGGGGGAGGGCCCGAACCCACCCCTTACCCTCCTTGGCAGCCCGTCATGAGCTGGGGCCCAGGCTGCTCTGCGAGTGGCCTGGCCTCTGGGGTGGCTACAACAGCAACGAGCACCTCAGGACTGCCTTCTGGGGCCAGGGGCAGCAACACAGGCTGACGTCCCAGGCGGTGCCTAGTGGGCCAGAGGGGCAGCTGTCCACTGGGTCAGGGGGAGGCGGGGAGGCTGGCCCGAGGCAGAGAGAGGTCCCAGGCAGCATCGGGTCCTCACCCCAGGCCCCCTGGGGCTGCTGACGGGAGAGAAAGCATAAGACCCAGCCTGCAGGACACGCTTTGCAACCTCTAAACCCAGGTGGGCAAATAAAGAGGGCAGAGAGCCAGCCAGGCCAGCATCCCCACCCTCCATCAGCCTCCGGCCTCCCTCCTGAGGACCTCCACCGCAGGGAGACCCGCAGGGAAAGGGCCGGGGCAGGCCCCCCATCCTGACCCTCCCGGGGCTGGGGTCGCTCCCACTCTACTTCCACCAGGGAACCCACTCTGGGATCCTAACCCACTTGTCCAAAGGCCCCTGGCTGGAAAGCATTAGAGCTGGGACTCAAACCCAAACCCACCCCACTCGGCGGCCCAGGCCCGCTCTTAACCCTCGACCTGCACTTCCTGAGGCGTGCTCTGCCCACAGGGCCTGCGAGCAGAGACACACACAGCTGCCCCCCAAGACCAGGTTCTGGTCACAGGCAGTGCCAGGTCCTCCTCCTCTGCCAAATTCCCCCGCACATTACCAAGTCAGAGGCTCTGAGAAGTCCTGCAGGAGACGAGCCTGCTGAACCAAACAGCTCAACACGGCCCGTCTCGGCGGTCACGGGACTCCCTCTGCACTAATCTCTGACGGACTCCCTTCGGGAAACGCTGACTCTGGAGGCCCCAAGACCCAGCTTGGAGCTCCTCCCTGAAGCAGCCTCCCTGGGCAGTTGTGGCCCAGAGAGGCCACTGTCGTCCCCTTTCCTGACAGCCCAGGGAGCTCCCCCAGGCTGGGGCCCTGCTCCCCACGTCCACCTGACCCTGGCTTGGGCTGGATGGGCTCACAGGTGGCCCAGCCCCTGTACCTCTTGTGGGCCAGGGGCCACCCTGAGCTGGACCTCCGGGGTGGGGGTGAGGGGAAGAACGGGGAGAGCCCCCAACAGCCCCTGCCCCCAGGCAGTTTTCAGTGGAAGCAATCTGCCCTGGGGAGGAGGCAGCCAGAAACAGCTTTAAATACCAGCCAGGAAAGGCCCCTCGTGTGGCACTCCTGCCTCTCTTGTGCCAGGCAGGGAAGTGGCCCACCTGCCCCAGGCAGGGGACAGAGCCCTGGGCTGCATGTCAGGAGACCTACGGTCCAGTCCAGCTCTGCTTCTCACGCTTGTTAGGCCCGATGCCCCCAGGGCAGGCAAGGCCTCCAGGGTCTGCAAGGTCCCATCCCACTCAGACCAGCAGAGAAGCCAGGCACAGAGGTGCAGGGACAGGCACCGCCACCCAGAGCTCAGCGGGCCACCTGGGGCCAGCCTCCCCCAGCTGTGCACAGAGCCCAGCAAGGCCCCCCGTCCGGCTCCCACAGTGCCAGCAGCCAGAGCGCCCACCGGAACCCAGGGTGCCGAGCCCCACAGCCCAAGGCTTCTGAGAGCCGGAGCAGGCCGGGACGGAGGCACAGCCGCCTGGGGAAGGCCAGCGGCCCGGAAGAGCCTTCTGCAGGGGAAGCAGCCCGCCCACCGCCCCGCCACCCCCAGCCCCACTTCCGGAGCTGCACCCACACAGGGGCTCAGCCTCCCCGCCATCTGGGCCAAGCCCCGAGCCGCACACGTATGCCCTCCTGCCCGACTCTGGCCTTCCAGAGCCAGGCCCCAGCTGGGCACGGGAAGCCACTGTGATGGGTCCCAGTCTACAGCGGCCACATGCCCCAGGCCCAAGCCTCCCCTCAGGGAGGTCCACCAAGCCTCCCCGCACCTGTCCGCCACCCCAGGCACACCAAGCCCAATCCTGCTCACCCTCTGGCCAGTGCACTCCTCTGCGGCTCCGCGAGGCCTGCTTCGTGCTGCGTGATTTGACGTCTGTCGGTTCCCCAAACAAGCCCCACCCTTTCACCTCCGGGCTCTGGCAGCCTCAAGGCACTGCCTCCCTCTCCACCCCCGCCCCCCCGCCTGGCCAACTCCTGCCCGCCTGCAGAGCCAGGCTCTGCGGCCACCTCCTCCAGGAGGACTGCCCGTCTCCTCCTCATCTGGACACGCACCTGCCTCGGGTTCCTGGAGCCTGCGCTTCCCACTGCTCCACAGGGCACCCGGCCTGCCACCGCCGGGCTACTGACACCTCCCCCAAGGCCATATCTGGCCATATACTGCCCAGCTTCCAGAACCCAATGGTGCCTGCACATGAGGGACACGCAAACCCCAAACTCCATGGACTGAGTCAGCTCACACTGAATTGTCAGTCAGGGGCTGGGCCCCAAGCCTGGTGTCCCTCGTTCCATCCACATGAGCTCTGGGGGTCACCTGCCTCAGGACTCGGTTGCTCACCTGAGCGACGGGGATGGAAACGTACCCGGCTCCCTGGCCTCTTCTGGCACTGAAATGACCGCACGGCTACAACAACTCCTCATAAATACGGAAACTTCACCCCTGGAAAGGGCTGATCTTGCTGTGTGGTTTCTACCACAGGAAAGCGGGCCCCAGCCTGGGGCCCCCACACTCCATCCAACAAGTGCCCCCCAGCTCCTGCCCACGCCATGCCCCGGGCAAGGTGCGCAGACCACAGCAAGCAAGGCGGACGTGGGGGCCCTGTAGAGCTCATGGTGGGGGTAGAGGAGAGACGTATGATAAATGAGCTATGTGACGAAAAGAAATGCCAGGGTAGGCAGGGGTGCAGCCTCAGGCCGGGCAGTCAGAAAGGCAGGAAAGCTTAGTGGTTGAGGATACAGGCTCTGAGACCAAACAGGTGTGAACCCCAGCTCCACATCAGAGGAGGTGTGTGACCCGGGACATATTAGTTAACCTCTCTGGGCCTCTGTTTCCTGACGTTAAGAGTGAGCTGGTAATGGTACCCAATACTCAGGGGCTTCACACAGAGGCTGGCACTCAGAGAGTGCCATCACCTGGGAACACCCCAGCTGGCTCCAAACAGGAGGAATGGGCAGCCTGAGAAACTCTGACTTCAACAGGCACTGGGGGACACACTTCAAGTCCCAGGGTCCCAGTCTGACTTCCTGTCAGTCCCCAGAAGGCAGCTCTTCTCTTCCCTTGCTTCCTGGCCCAGAAAGCGGAGCCTGACAAAGGGATGCAGAAGTGCTGGCCTCTGTCCCAGGCCCCCCTCCCCAGGGGAGCTGAGCAGTGGCCCCAGGGAGTCTGGCTGTTTCAGAAGAAGATGCTTCCCCATTGCGTGGGTCTCCCACTCAAGAGGGCCTCTAGCCGTCTGCAAAGGGTTCCTCCTCCCCAGCCGGCTGGAGCCTGAGGGAGATGGGGGTGGGAGGCCCGGGAGCCCCAAGGGGCAGACTAGGAGGTCCCCGACCCACACTAGCAGGGAGGTGCACAGAAGGTGGCATCAGCCTGCCTACTGCAGAGATGGGGAGACCGAGGCCAGGAAGAGGGCATGACTGGCCCCAAATCCACGTGGCCCCACTGAGCGAAGCCGGAGGAAATGCGCCTCCAACACGGCTGGGACCAGGAAAACTCACATTGGCCCTGAGGCCATGGAGCCTTCTGGGGCTCAGTTTCCCCATCTGTGCAGAGAGTGGCTGCGCCCCAGGATCCTGGGCCTCTCCCTGCTCAGTGACACCAGGAACCATCAACCCAAGTCAGCTGCACCTGAAGCAGTGAGACCGAGCCACTTCCAAAGGGCAGGAAAGGCCCCAGACGGGGTGAGAAGGGTTTGGATCCTGGAAGACAAAGAGGCCCCATCAGAGTACTCCGGGTCTCAAGAGGTGGGTGGCGGCACCACCTACTGCATGTACCCCTTGGGGGCATCATGCTCCCCAAAATCCAGGCCTGCCATGCTGCCACCCCTAAATGGGCATGAGCCCCTCCCTGGGTCACCTCCAGCCGGGCCCAGGAGGAAGAGAGAGGAGGTGGGTCTTGGGAGCCAGGCACAGGGCTGAGAACTGGGGTACCCGCAACAAAGACCTCAAGTTGCTTCTTTTCCCTCAGGCACAGTTGCAGGGTAATTCTTCCCAGTGGTCAACAGGGAGGGGGTAGACCGAGGCATAACGGGGAGGATGGAGAGAGGAGGTGTCCCCCAGCACCAGCACCAGGGAGAGGGACTCAATGTGGAGACAAGGGGGCCGGGAGGCTGCCAAGTGGATGACTCGGGAGCAGACACACTTGACCCCTCTTCTCCCAAGCTTGAGGATGCCTGAACGGGAAGCCCTCACTGGGTGACACAAGTAAGGGGGCCGAGGTGGGGAAGCTGTCTAAGCAGGGGGTCTACGCAGGTGAAGGGTAGGAGACGGGTGAGCCAGTCCGCTGCCCACACCGGCAGGCCAGCCCAGAGGGCACGAGAGGCTGCGGAGGCAGGACAGGAGCGGACGGGGGGCCAGGACCAGCGGGCCAAAGAAGCAGGAGAAGGGGTTCCAACATGACACCAGACAGGAGAAACCAATGGACGTGTGTGTTAGAGGACCCAGGACCCCCAGGGGCCTCTTTTCAGGCCCAAGCTCAGCCGCGCCCCCCGCCCCTGTCCTGACACCAGGGAGCTCAAGTCTGTCTCCCCAGCACAGCACTTGGTGGGTGCTCTGAGAACACCCGCGAAATAGACCTGCCAGAAATCAGCAGACCACGGGAGAAATGACCCCCGGTGTCCCAGGGAGAAGCGCCACCAAAGAGGAGCTGAGCCCACCTCTGCCCCAAGGCTCCCCCCACCCCCCGCTGACACCCCATCCCTCCTGCAAAGGCTTCAGGTGGGGCTGGGGGTGTGGGGAGAAGTGGAAGGCAGGGGTGAAGGTGCTTCGGCCCAGCAGGTCTGCACCCAGGATTGGGCAATGCCCCAGCCATGACGTGGCTGGTTGTGAAACCCGTGGGCAGCGGCAGGTCGAGCCAGATGCCTACGGCTGTGGGGTGGGCACCCTGCCACCCTCCTTGGGGGTGGGGGTGGGAGGAGGCATGGGCAGGCTGGGCTGGGAATGGTGGGGCAGAGCTGGAGGGCCAGCAGGACCCCCATACACAGGCTGGAGGACTCCGGCCACTGTGGGGACCTTGCCGCCTGAGCCTGCTGGTCTCGGACATCTGGAGAACGTTTTTCACACGTTTAACTCTCCCAGCAAACTGCACACTGCCACGTTACAGATGAGGAAACCAAGGAACAGAGAGCAATTAGCCCAAGGGCTACCCCTCGCCCGCCCTGCCCAGCCTCACCTCCCAGGTTCCCACCACCCGGGGATGTCCACCCTCCCACTCAAGGCAGGTGGGGGCAGAGGAGAGCCCGACACAACTCCATGACAGTGAAAATGACAAACACCTCCACTTGGGCAGCGTCTCCCCCATGCCAAGCACAGTCTGTGCCTCATTTAAGCCTGTAGTGTTGCTCTGTGTCCCCTCCTTTAATCCCGTGACCACCTGACACATTCGGTACCATGAGCAACCCATTTTACAGATGCAAGAAACTGACTCAATCCTTGCCCCCAAAACACACACGCTGCTGCAGGGAGGCAGAGCGGGGCTGGACCCGGCCATCACCAGAGCTTCAGCCGGCTCTGCCTGGAGGCAGGGGGCTGGACCCAACGACCTCCAGAAGACCCTGCTTCTCGGGCTGGTGTTCAGATGCGGTGGCCTCATTCACAGAGCCAAAGCAACTCCCAGCTCTTGGCTACGTAGGTCTTTGCAAACACAGTGAACATCCAGAAGGCCCACCACCAGCACTTCCCTCCCACCCTGAGACCCAACCCCAAGAAGGGCTGGAATCGCCACCCGATTCCGGCGAGCAATGTGGCCCACTCGGCCTGCTTCCTCGGAGGCCCCAGGACCTTCCAGCCAGCTCAAGCACCACTCTCCACCTGGGCACGGGAGACAGAAAGCTGCCATCAGCTCAGCGTGAATGTGCCCCAGGCCTGCTCCCTCCAGGACAAGAGGAGGCAGGAGCGGGATGGCATTGAGGAATGGGCCACCAGTCACCTCTGGATGATCCCTGGTAATGGTGGGATGGCAAGACATGGAAAACCCAAAGGGCCAGATCGTCCACATCCCAGCTGAGGCAGGACTCAAGCACAAGTCCAAGAACACACGGCCCCAGGGCAAGAGCGCAGAGTCAGCCCCAGCGCCCGGCCGCCATTCAGACAAGGGGTCAGGCGAGGCCCACGGGCTCCCTCAGAGGAACCTGATTGCTCTCCTCCAGGGAGGGCCACTCCCAACCCCCCAAAGCCACCCAGAACCCCTGTTCAGCTCTGCCCCACTCAACCTCTCCAAAGACAAGGCACAGTGTCCACTCCCGCTCCAGGCCTCAGGCCAGGCAGCTCTCCAGGACAGGGAGGGCGCGCAGGAGCCCCTGGGGACCAACTCGCTGGGAGACCCAGGATGAGGCAGTGCCCCGCTGGGCCTCTCCATTCTCCTCTGTAAACGGGGGATGGATGACACCTAGCACACAGGGCAGTGGGAGAGGCAGCGAGTGGTTCAAACAAACAGTTACAAACTGTAAAGGGGGGTGCGCATCCCCAAAGCGACATCAAGTCAGACCTTCGTCTCCCCTTGAAAAGCGCCTTTGGCCTGTCTGGAGGCCCTGCCCGTGCCCCACCCTGGCACTCACAGCCCAGCCCCTCGCTGCTCCAGCCCTCAGGCCCACAGGGCCGCAGGAGGACACCCTCTCCCCAGACCCACTCCCACGCCAGCCCCCAAAATGGCCGCCAGGAACAGCCACTTCTTTTCAGTAAAAGGCCACAGGAGACTCGTCCTCCACAAAGTTCACACCTTCCCTTCTGAGGGCCGAGAGCCTGGCGTCCGCCCGCCCGCCGGGAGCCCGGCCTCGGGGGAGCCGGGAAGGCCCTTCCTGCCGGCCAGTCTCCGCGCCCCACTTCTTCTCCAGCCTTGTCCAAGGCAACAATACATTCACCAATCACTCAAGGTCCCGCTCAGATTTTTTTTTGTAAAACATATTAAAATCAGTATGTAACACT